TATCCACTCTTTTACCAAGTTTATTGATGCCACCTTTGCAACATCTCTTGTATACCCTCCCTTTTCTCTTCTGACATTGCCCTATCCTGATGAAGGCTCTCATCACCTGAAGCCTGAACTTCTGCAAAAGCTTCTGGTTAACCTTCCTGCTTCAAATCTCTCTTGACTCCAATCCATCCTCTACTTAGCTGTCATAGTGATCTTCCTAAAGATCTGGCCATGTCATTCCCCTTACTCAATAAACTCCAATGGCTCTCTACTACCTCTAAGATCAAATATTCAATCTTCTGTTTGACTTTTAAAGCCCTTAATAAAGTTGCCCCTTCCTACTTTTACAGTATTCTTATACTTTATTCCCCTCCACATACTCTGCAGTCCAGTGGCACTGGCCTTCTTGTTGGTGCTAACATAAGACACATCTCCTAAATCCATGCATTTTCATTGGCTGTCACCTCCATACCTGGAATGTCCTCCTTCCTCATCTCCACCTCCTGGCTTCCCTGAAGGATCAGCTAAAACCTCACCTTTTCCAAGAAGCTTTTCCCAGTTTCCATAAATGCTGGTGTCTTCCCTCTGAGATTACCTCCAATTTAGTCTATAGTAGATCTTAGATGTACATGGTTATTTGCATGTTGTCTTTCCACAAGAATGTAAGCTCCTCAAGAGCAAGTACAGCACTTAGCACAGTGCCTGGCACATAGTTAGCATTTAATAAATGCTTGTTGATTTGATTTAGCATCCCTAAAATCCTCTCCTTCTCTGACTTCTGCCTCTTAAAATCCGTGGATTCCTTTAAGACAACTTAAATATCATGTTCTGCAGGAGTCCTTTCTTGGTCCCTTCTGGCAGCTAGAATATGTGTATCTTCTACGTACGTTTTCACCTTTCTTTTGTCCCCCAGAACTTGACACAATGCCTGGCACACAATGAGCACTTAATAAATGTACGTGTATTGATTGATTGACTGATAAAGCCAACCACATTCCCCTTCCATCCTCTTCATCTCTCTTCTTCAGAGATGTCTCTGTCCCAATCTGGAATGTCTTCCCCATGTAAACTTATCTAATCTTGCTTTTAATTAAATCTCACTCATTTCTATTCATCCGTTCTTCTAACTAATGCTATTCCTTTTTGTCTAATTGCATAGAGGTACCACTCAGTTGAGGTCACAAGAACTAGCAACCATTTCCAATATTTATTGGGAAGGCTTCTAATATTTCCTAATTACAAATAATGTTAGCTTTTAATTTTAGATACACTTTTTTATCGTGTTAAAAATGTGGTCCTGGGTACAGGACAGACTTAATGATAAGGGAAGCCTAACTGCTTCTTGAGTGATTGAGATACCCAATCTCACATTCATTTGCTCATTACCCTCACCTTGGATTCCTAGGGAAAGTTGATAATTTTAGTTATAGTTATAAAGTCTATAGGGTTCCCCAAAAGGGGAGAAGTAAAAAAAAGAGATACCAAATGAGGGGCAGCTAGGTGGCACAGTGGGTAGAGCACCAGCCCTGGAGTCAGGAGGACCTGAGTTCAAATCTGGCCTCAGACACGTAATACTTACTAGCTGCATGACTCTGGGCAAGTCACTTAACCCCGATTTCTTCACCAAAAAAAAAAAAAGAGATAACAAATGAAAATTTTAAATCAGGAATGTGTCAGGTTGTTTATTCCTACCCAGAATAACCTAGAAGAATAATAGTGCTCATTAACAGAATGATTTAAACAGGATTCAGTAACAACTTATAACCACAGATAGAGTTTGCTGGGAGACTGATAACTGATCATCATCAGCACATAAAGCAATTTTTGCAATACTCCTACCATACCTTGTAAACAAGTAAAAAGAAAGACAGGAGAAAAATCAGTTCAGCAAAACTAACTAACACATCAACAATCTACGAAATGTTCTACACCCATTATTACCAACCTCTGCATAAAAGGGAAGGAAGTATACTTTCTCATCTCTTCTTATCAAGTGCTTAGTCATGGTAATTACAGACCATTCAGTTTTTTCTTTTTTCCATTTATATTGTTTTAGCTTTCTTGAATTTGTTTCCCTGATTTTGCTTACTTTCCTTCATATCAGTTTATGCTTCTCTGTATTCTCTGTATTCATTTCTTCCTTAGAGTACCGTAATATTACATTAAATTCATAAACCACAGTCTGTTCAGCCATTCGCCAACTGATGTTTTTCTCCTTGGTTTCTACTCCTTTGCTACCAAAGGAAGTGCTGAATAAATCACTTGGTGTATATGGGGATTTCTTTCTTTCTTTGACCTCTTTGGAATATATGCATGAGAGTGAAATCTCTGGTTAAAAGGTTATGGACTCTTTTTTTGGGGGGGGTGGCTAGGCAATGGGGTTAAATGACTTGCCCAGGGTCACACAGCTAGTAAGTGTTATATGTCTGAGGCCAGATTTGAACTCAGGTTCTCCTGAATCCAGGGCTGGTGCTCTATCCACTGTGCCACCTAGCTGCCCAGAAAAGGTCATGGACTCTTAAGGCACTTATAAACAAAATTCCAGATTGATTTTTCAGAATTATTGGATCAATACATAGCTCCACTAATATTGCAATTATTTGCCTATCTTCCCCCAGCCCCTCTAATACAAATATTTCTATCTTTTGTCATCTTTACCAATCTACTGGATGTGAATCCTCAGAGTTATTTTTATTTGCATTTATTCTATTATTAGTGATTTGGAGCACTCTTTAATATGGTTGTTGATAGGTTTATTTCTTCTTTTGAAAAACATTTGTTCATATCCTTTGACAATTCACCCATTGGGAATGATTCTTTGCACTTCTAAGCATTCTCAATGAAAAATTAAGAGCTGAGTAGAAGTTTTGAAATGAAAGGACAGAAGTTAAAACTAAAAAGGTAAAATCATTGGAACCTTTTTTGCTTGCTGATGAAGACTCTTCTATCCATGGTGACATACTAGAAATCCATGGTCCAAAAGGAAGAGGAAAAACAGAAATGCTCTATCATCTGACTACAAGATCTATCCTTTCAAAATCAGAAGGTGGATTAGAAGTCAAAGTCTTATTTATTGATGCAGAGTACCACTTTGATATGCTTTGGCTAGTTACAATTCTTGAACATAGACCGTCCCAAAGCAGAGAAGACATAATCAAACAGTGCTGTAGAAGACTTTTTTCATGTGAATTGCAGAAGCAGTAACTCATTATTTATTACCCTTTATTCACTAGAAACTGTATTTTGAACCACCCATCGTCCTGCATTTTCGTTTTAGAAAATTTATTCGTCTTCTCGTAGATAGACTGAGTCAATGGAGGAGAAAACCATAACTTAGAAGAGAGTACTCTGAAAAAAATGTTCTAAATTCATGGAGAAGCTTGTAAAAGAATATCACTTGTTTTTCTTTGCAACAACACAAACTATAATGCAAAAAAAGTTCAAATTCAACACAAAGATCATCTTCCTTAAAACTTTTTTGTGAAAAACTAGATATAAACTATAGACCTTATCTTTTTGTAAGTCAAGGCAACAAATGGTAAACCACAGAATATTTTTTCCAGACATGACAATTCTGAAAGTAGCGACCAAATGTTTTCAAAGGTGTCATGTCATCTAAAAAGCAACAATATAATAAAGTGTTTATTTAGTTTAGATAAAATGGAGTTCATTTTTGTTAATTTGTATCATAAATAGGCCATCTGCAAGTATTGAGTTTTTAAGACATCTTTAAATTTTTTTCTCCCTTAATAATAATGCTTTGATGATACATCAGCATTTCTGAATTTTAAAGACTAAAAAGGTTAACATCAATATTTCTACATAAATTATCCACAGTGTTTCTTAAACAAGAATGAATTTCAGGTGCAAAGAAATACATTTTCTGATCTTAGGTCATCATGGGCTAAATAACAATATCAGTGCTTTGAGTTTGAATAAAACCTAGGCAAAAGGTAAGTATATTTTAACTTAAATAAAAAATGTTTTATAATTTGGTGTCATATCTTTGAATGATTAAGTAATCATAATTTTTAAACTCAATTGCAATCCTAATTTACTATATTCTTTTAGAAAAGTGTAAATACATAAAACATCGAAATGGAACCATTTGTGTTTATGTACATTTAAATAGCATTGTTATATAAAGGATGAAATTAATCATCTACTACTTGCTTTGTATTGCTTAGAATACCACACAGATAAAAGTATGCTTAAAATATCATATAAATAAAGTGGCAGAGCAGATAGGTAGAGAATAGATCCAGGTCCATGCTATACTGTGTAATTTCTTTTTAAGTACATATAATATAAAAATAGTTATAAAAGGTACTACATGTGACTTTTTTTTTAAATGAAGTATTTGTTTACATTTTAATTGGAAAAGAAGAAACAATTGTGCATTCAGAATTCTAATGTCAGCAAAGGCCATAGAGGAAGTTAAATAAGATCAACAGAGAGCCTGGAGGTAGTTTGGCTGCTGTTAAATAAAGAAAGAATAGGAGGTGAAAAAGGAATACATGAAGAGGTAAAGGAATAAGGAAAGAGAATTTCCAATCTCACATAATAAGTGGTACGGAAGATGAAGAATATAAAAATCACTCTTGATCTTAAATATCTCTATTAATTTTTATTGTATATGTTTTATCTCATATTATCAGAGAAATTTGATACAACTATTTTCCTTTAATCAACAATTTACCTTTTTATTTTTGCTTTGTTGATTTGGTCCATGAACAAGCTTTTCAGGTTCATGTAACCAAATTTATCTGTTTGATATTTTATAATCTACACTATCTTTCAGGCTATGGAAGAACAAAGTTATCTAAACAAGGGGCAAAGGAACTCAGTCAGGGTGCCCTCTGTTTGAGAAGTACATTTTGTCATAAGTAGATAGGATAAGAATTTGAGAATGACAAAAGAACTCACTAAAAGTAAGAGGAATCTAACAGTAAGCTAAGCATAAGACAATTACAAAAGTTAATGAATATATGGATTTTGTTTGTCTTTTTCAGGACTGCACAAACAAACAGCACTTGTGTGACCTCCATTGATATGGAACTCTTCCTGCACTATTCACTCATTCCATCAGTAAGTTAACTCAGGAAATAAGAGTAAATTTCTGCAATTATCAAAAGCAGAATCATAAATATGTCTGAAATTGTTCACACTGATTGTTTCTAATCTTTTATTTTTTCAGTCTCCCAACCATGCCCTCAAACCCCATAGCACAGTGCTTCCCACTCTTTATGTAATGAGATCCCCCTTTTATAAAATTATTTATGCAAATAATTTCCTTAGTTTGTATTTTATTTTTAAATAAGAAAAATCTTATTTTAATAAGAAAAATTTAGAACTGTTTAAAAATGTTAATAGCAACATGTAAATGAATCTTAAACAAAGCTTAATAAAACAAAACAATATAACATACTAATATATTCATTAATGAAACCTTTTGATGGTCTTTTTTATAACACAAAAATATCCATAATACTAATAATATTAATGTGATACCTGAGTTTGGTTTTGGGGGGCAAAGTTTCTAAGTCATTGAATATATTGTTCTTCAAAATTACTTTTCAATACCTAATTAATATTTTTATCTTTGTAACAACTACATTAGTATATAAATAAGATGTCACAAATGGTAGTGAAACTGGTATTACTTTGTTTGATAAATTAGAATTCTTCATTTGCTTATAACTAAAATGAAATAAGATTTTCAGATTCAAACATTTGTTTCAAAGTACTATCGCTACACAAGTGTATAAACAGTTCTTATTCCAGAGAATTTAAAAACACATGTCCATGGCAAATGGGTCCATTATTCCTTCATATTTAGAAGTATCTCGGACCTAGCAACATTGTCAAGAAAACCAACTTTGAAAGACTTAGGAACTCTAATCAATGCAATGATCAACCACATCTCAATGCTACCCCCTAGGCCAACCTCTGGTCATGCTCGGATGCTCACCTGCACTGGTACTAGCTTGCCTTGTTGCTCCCTTTTCTGTTACCCTCAGTTTTCGAGCTGACTCGTCCTGCAGTTCTGGGGTGGAAGAAGTCACTTATTGTAACTGCTCATTGAAGTCCCTTATCATTATTCATTCTGGTGTGAACTTTGGTGTGTTGTTGGAGGTGGTTATGTGTGAGCTAGGCACACTGCCTCCTGTTCAGGAAGTCATCTTGCCCAGAAGTTCATATATTATAATACAATTAACACACACACACACACACACACACACACACACACACACACAATATTTAACTTTAAGTTTATATGCTTCATGTTCAAATGCAACAAACAAAGAGTGAGGATACAGTTCACCTGTGTCATGAACTCCACAGTAATAGAAGCAGATGGTTCTTGGCCATAGTAAGATTCAGCATGTACCAAATAAAAGCTGTTTTCATTTGTGCATACTTTATTAAATAATCACTGTACTGCATTCTCTAACAGTTGGGTTGAATTGGTCATATTATTCTTACTTCATTGACTTTCATTTGAATTCTGTTTTAATTTCTAAAAGCAGATATATTTTTTCAGCAGCTGTACTAAAAAAAAACAAAACTAATAATTTTTGCCATTGTTTCAACAGGTATAGATGGGGACTATTAGAAAATGCTGCCATAAATGATGAAGTCATCACATAGCCACATCTCCTTCAGCATCTCTCCTCCACTTCTTAAAACTTCTCAGTACCATCAAACATTCTGAGGAAGCTAGACAGTACAGTGGATAGAATGCTGCACCTGGAGTCAGGAAGACCTGAGTTCAATTCTAGGCTTAGACACTTACTAGCTATTTGATTTTAGGCAAGTCACTGCCTGACTCAGTTTCCTCATATATAAAATGGGGACAATAATACTACCTGCTTCCCAGGATTGTTGTGAGGATGAAATGAAATGATACTTGTAAAGTGGCTGGCACATACATAGCAAAAACTTAATAAACGCTTGTTTCTTTCCTTCCATTCTGTCTCAAAGGGGAAAAATATTTAGGCCATTAGACTAATTTTTGATTAGGGGCACTTGATTCTATCTCCTCAAGGACCTTGCTCCAACATTCATACTTTCTTTCTTGCATACTTTTAATCTCTTCTCACGTTATTATATCCTTCCTATTTGATATTCAATCATAAAGGATATTATGTTTCTTCAACAGACTAAAGAAAGTACAACTTCATTAAACTTTTTTAATACTAACTAATTCATCTGGAGGAACAAAAAGTAAAGAATATAAAGGAAATTAACGAAAAAATATGAAGGAAAGAGGCCTGGCAGTACCAGTTCTCAAACTATATTACAAAGCAGTAATCATCAGAATAATTTGGTACTGAATAAGAAATAGAGTGCTTTATATTATAAAGCAGTAATCATCAGAATAATTTGGTACTGAATAAGAAATTGATCAATGGAATGAATTAAGAGCTCAATATACAGAAACAAATGAGCACAGTAACCAAATGTTTGATATATCCAAAGATTCCATCTTTGGGGCAAGAACTCATTATTTGACAAAAACAGATGGGAAAACTGGAAAGCAGTCTGGCAGAAAGCATAGACAAATATCTTACACTGTATACTAAGAAAAGCTCAAAATGGGTACATGATTTAGAGAAAAAGGTGTAATATCATAAATAAACTAGAGGAGTATGAAAAATATTACCTGTCAGATCTATGAACAGGGAAAGAGTTAATGACTAAACAAGGGATAGAGAGGATCATGGGAGGCAAAACGAATAATTTTGATTACATTAAATTAAAAAGGTTTTGCACAAACAAAACTAATGCAGCCAAAATTAAAAGGAAAAGCAAAAAGCAGGGGGGGAAGTTTACAGAAAGTTTCGCGGATAAAGGTCTTATTTCTGAAATATATAGGAAACGGGGCCAAATTTATACAAATAATAGCAATTCCCCAATTGATAAATGGTCAAAGAATATGAATAGGCAGCTCTCAGAAGAAGAAATCAAAGATATCAACAGTCATAAGAAAAAATGCCCTAAATCACTAATTATTAGAGAAATACAAATTAAAATAACTCTGAGGTATAACCCAAAGGGCTATAGAGCTGCATACTCTTTGACCTAGCAATACTGCTACTAGGTCTATACCCCAGAGAGATCAAAAAAAGAGGGAAAAGACCCATATGTACAGAAATATTTATAGCAGCTCTTTTTGTGGAAATTGAAATTGAAAATTTGGAAATTGAAGGGACGCCTGTCAATTAGGTAATGGCTGAAGAAGTTGTGGCACATGATTGTGATGTAATACTATTGTGTTGTAAGAAATTATGAAGGGGATAGTTTCAGGCAAACCTGGAAAGACTTACATGACACGATGCAAAGTGAAGTGAGCAGAATGAGAACAATATACAAAATAACAGTAATATTATAATCAATTGCAAAAAACTTAGCAATGACCCATGACAATTTCAAAAGACTTATGATGAAAAATGCTATTCATCTTCAGACGAGAACTGATGAACTCTAAGTGCAAATTAAAGCATATTTTTCCCCTTTCTTTTGCTTGGTTTTTTTTTTTGTAACATGGCTAATATAGAAATCTGTTTTGCGTGACTTTACATGTATAATGAGTATCATACTTATTGTCTTCTTTGACAGGGTAGGAGAGGGGGTGAAGGGAGAAAGAATTTGAAATTGAAAAGAAAAAGAAAAAGCAATTTAAAATAAAAAATATCAACTAAACTTTTCTTTTTAAATACAAATTTTGCAAAGAATTCCTTTCAATCAAACCCTTCTCCAGGCCCTAAAATACAGATCAAGCTTTTCAGATATATCTTTTTAGTGAAAAAAAAATTTAACTGGACCTTACTCTTCTAGCTCCATCTGTTGCTACCATAACCGAAGTTTCAAGCCAAGCTTGAGGTATTTTGTGTGCTGCATATGTATGATTCTGAATTGATGGAGAGAGAGTACTAATAAATACATTATGCATAAAGGCTGCAGTTGGTGCAGAAAGGGGAGCAACATTATTTTGTTTCAAATGAGACTCATATGGTTCCAGACTCTTGGGGAATGACCCCAGATACAGAAAGACAGACACAGAGACAGAAAGACAGAGACACAAAGAGAGATAGAGAGACAGACAGATGTAAGAAATGGCAAGCTTGTAGGGGAAGACAGCTCAACATGTCTCTAATTTCTAGCTAGCCTCCTTAAACTTTGAGGATTGTCCCCTTGGCTGAGATCAGGTGCTCTCTCAGTTGAGCTGAGATCTCATCTCCTTCTCATCCAAAGAGCTCATTCCCTCTGTGTATTTTCTGGTGTATTCTTATCTGTACAGCTTCTCTAATATCTGCTATTTGCAAGGATCAATAGGTTTGCTTGCTATTTGCTATTTGTGATAGTCTTTTATGTAATTAGCATTTGTTGGGAAGGAGTTAAAAATTGTTAATGTCAACTTTTTTTTTGGCTTTCTTTGCCCCAGGATCACAAACTATGAACCGAGTGGCCAGAGGAGTCAAAGGAGAAAATAATGATTGGTCAATTTTGTTTTTTTCCAGATGGGTTACAGCCTGCTGTAATTGGAGGGAGGTTAGGGAGAGAAGAAGAAAGAGGAGGAAGATGAGGAGAAGAAGAAGAAGCAGATAAGGGAAAGGGGAAGAAAAAGGGGAAGGACGGGAAGAGGGGCTACTTTCTGGGAATAGGAAAGAGGATGGTAAATGGTAGGAGTAGTAGCTATTTCTAGTACTTTCCACCTACTCAGGATAAACTTTCATTTCTTCCCAGTTAGGCAACAGACTAATTAAGGAATTTTATGTACAATGCATTGCTCTCAGAATGGGACAGGATATGATTTTCTCTACTTTAACAGTAAGCGTTACCAGTGCTGTCTTTTTTTGTTCTTTCAGTTTTTCATAATTATGGTTCTGTCCTTCCTCCAAAGAAGAGTTCATCACAAGCAGATAGATGACAAGTCATATCTCCTTGGTAATCGTTTTGGGATTGTTATGTAAGTTGGACAAAGGTTCCACCTTAGATTTCAAACTAAGTTTTCCCCTCACAGTATGTTAATTCTTAAGTGATAACATTTACCAAGAAGCCATAGATGAAAGAACTCAATATGGGAGGTTGTATGTTCCATAAGTTAGTCTAATATCTGTCACTGCGACTAAAAATAGAGGAAGGAAAAGAAAAACAACATACCTTGGTGTGTACAACTGGAATTGCAATGAATTAAAATAACAAGAATAATTGTCTGTCTCTTGGGCAGCTACCCTTCTCATCCACGATGCCTTCTGAGTGCTATTGATTCGAATAAATCATATAGAAGGAGCCAGAGATTATTAACAGACAACCTGTTATCCAATAGTACCATCCAGATGTCAAAGGAAATCAAGGAAGTTCCCTAGTATATTGGGTGGATCATCTATGGAACATTTAGGGAAGGATATGGGCAAAAGTGGTGCAGAACGGATGGATTAGGATCTAAAACATTGGCAGGAACATCCACATAGATGAGATCAGAGATCCATTTGACTATTGTGTGTGGCCAAAATATCCCCCCCTTCCCCCTCAAAAAATAATCATAACAAGGAGTGATTCCAAGTAATCATCCAATGTCTCTCTTTCAGCATAACAGAAATGTCCCCTTGGCTTTCATGTGATGGCTGCTCTCCTCTTACCTATTAGAGCAAATGGCATGAAATTCCTCCCTTTAATGAACTCACATTCACTTCCAAGTCTACTTGCTTAGTCCATTAGTGGTGTCTGACTCTTCATGACCCTATTTGGGGTTTTCTTGTCTATTTCTTCCTGTAACTCCCTGAACTTCTCCTCTAAGAATCTGGATGCTATACCATTTGGTGCATATATGTTTAGTAATGATATTACTTCACTGTCTATGGTGCCTTTTAGCAGGATGTAGTTTCCTTCCTTATCTCTTTTGATAAGATCTATTTTTGCTTTTGCTTTGTCTGAGATCAGGATTGCTACCCCTGCTTTTTTTACTTCAGCTGAAGCATAATATATTTTGCTCCAGCCTTTTACCTTTACCCTGTATGTGTCACTCTTTTTCAAATGTGTTTCCTGTAAACAACATATTGTAGGATTATGGTTTTTAATCCACTCTGCTATACACTTCCAATTTATAGGAGAGTTCATCCCATTTGCATTTACAGTTATGATTACTATCTGTGTCTTTTTCTCCATCCTTTTTTTCCTCCCTGTTTATGCTTTTCGTTCTCCTTTCTCCTTCCCCCCCACTAGTGTTTTGCTTTTGACCACCGCCTCCTTCAGTCCCACCTCCCTTCTATTATCCCTTTCCCTTTTCTTCCCCTTTACCCTTACTGCTTCTTCCCTCCCTTGTATCCTCCCTCCCTTTTCTTTCCCCTTTTCCCTCCTGCTGCCTATAGTGTAAGTTAGATTTCTATACCTAACTGATTATTTTATTTTCTTCTTGAGCCAAATCTGATGACAGTAAGGTTCAAACAATGCTCATCTCCCTCCCTTCTTTACCTCTGCTCTAATAGGTTTTTGTGTCTTTTCCTGTAATCTGCCTCTTTTCCCTTGTCTGCCTCCTCCTTTCTCAGTACATTTTCTAAGCTCAGACTAATCCACTTACTTGGATCTATTTAACCCGCTTGATTAGATTTTTTTTATCATTACATCAAAGTCAACTTACATCCACCCCCTTTACGTGTACTCCTTTAACATGGTATAATAACAATACAGTTCTCAAGAGCTGTGTCATCTTCCCTTATAGAAATGTAAACATTTTGCCCTTGTTAACAACATATTGTATCTTTCTGTCCCATTTACCTTTTTATGTCTCTCTTGAATCTTGTACTTGAAGATCAAATTTTTTGTTGAGCTCTGGTCTTTTTATCAGGAACGTTTGGAAGTCCCCTATTTCATTGAATATCCGTCTCCTTCCCTAAAAAATCACGCTCATTTTCGCTGGGTAGTTAATCCTTGGCTGTATTCCAAGCTCCTTTGCCTTACTGAATATCATGTTCCATCCCTACAGTCTTTTAATGTAGAGGCTGCAAGGTCCTGTGTAATCCTGACTGTGGTTCTATGATATTTAAATTGTTTCTTTCTGGCTGCTTGCAGTAATTTCTCTTTAATCTGGTAATTTTGGAATTTAGCTATTATATTCCTTGGTATTTTCAATTTGGGATCTCTTTCAGGTGGGGAGTGGTGGATTCTTTCTATAGTTATTTTACCTTCAGGTTCTAGGACTTCAGGGTAGTTTTCCTTTATGATTTCCTGCAGGATATTATCCAGGCTCTTCTTTTCATCATGACTTTCAGGTAGGCCTATAATTTTTAAATTGTCTCTCCTAGATCGATTTTCCAGGTCAGCTGTTTTACCCATGAGGTATTTTACATTTTCATCTATTTTTTTCATTTTTTTGTTTCTGTTTGACTGATTCTTGCTCTCTCTTAGAGTCATTAGTTTCCATTTGTTCAATTCTAATTTTTAACATATTGCTTTTTTCTGTTAGATTTTGTACTTTCTTCTCCAATTGGTCAATTGTATTTTTAAGGGATTTATTTTCTTCATTGTACTTTTTTTCCAACTGGCCAATTGTGTGTTTTAGGGACTTGTTTTCTTCAGTGTACTTTTTTTCCAATTGGCCAATTGTACTTTTAAAGGACTCCTCTACCTCTCTCATTTGACTTTTAAAATCCTTCTTGAGTTCTTATAAGAAGGCTTTTTGGGCTTCAGATCAGTTCATATTCCCTTTTGATGTTGCAGATGTGGGTTTGATGACAGTGTTGTCCTCTTCACAATTTCTGTCTTGATCTTTACTCTTCTCATAATATGAATCTATCGTACGTTTCTTTTTACTCATGGAGTTTCTTTATTCCCTGGCCTTTAAAGAGATTAAGCTCTCCTGCTGGGGAGCAGAGGGCACTGACCCAAGCTTCTTGTGTTGGGAGCCTAGGTCTTGGTCACTGGCTTTGTGCACTGGGGCCTCTTATGTTGGCAATTGGAGGCTGTAGGGTTCTGGCAGCTTATCTGGTGTTGGGCTGGAATCAGCAAGGCTGGGCCTTTCAGGTAAATCTAGGTTGCCTGCTTTCCTTTCCTTTAGCTTTGTTTAGCTCCTTTTAGATAAGTGCTGCCAGGTGTTTATCTGCCTGGGGCCCCTTGCAGTGCCGCCTCCCTAACTTCTGTTGAGACACTGGGAGACTTCTTTGTTGTAGAATGCCGAGGCATGTGGTGGTTTTCTGAGCTGGTTTCCACCAGTTACCCCACCCTCACTGAGGCACTCGCAGGTACACCTGTTGGCGTTTGCCTGCTCAACCACCCGGGCTTCGGGATCTCCTCTTGGTTGGCAGTTGGAGGCTGTAGGGTTCTGACAGCTTACCTGGTGTTCAGCTGGAATCAACAAGGCTGGAACTTTTTGGCACCTCTAGGTTGCTTTCTTCAGCTCCTTTCAGACAAATGCTGCCAGGTGCTTATCTGCCTTGGGCCCTTCGTAGTGCTGCTTCCCTTATTTTTGCCGAGGCACTGGGAGACATGTTTGCTGTAGAATGCTGAGGCACCAGAATCTCCTGGTGTGCTAAAGTGGGTCTTTCCACGAGCTAGCTGGGCGACTCCTGTTTCGTACTGCTCCCCTTCCCCCAGGGTAACAGGGGCCTTTCCTGTTAATCCCTCTAGCTACCTGGACTACTGCACTGCTGCACCCCGTCTTTCTTCTGGTTCAGCTGTTCCAGGGTTTTTTCTGGGGTGACATTTTCTGGATTTTCAGAGGTTGATAGGGCAGGGTGAGAGCGACTACCTTTTCACTTTGCCATCTTGGCTCCCAGAAGCGAAAGTCCCCTATTTGGGGTTTTCTTGGCAAAGACACTGGAGCAGTTTGCCATTTCCTTTTCCAGCTCATTTTACAGATAAGGAAACTGAGGCAAATAGGATTAAGTGACTTGGCAGGAGTCACACAGCTAGTAAATGTCTGAGGTCACATTTGAACTCAGGTCCTCCTGACTCCAGGCCCAGCACTCTGTGCATTATGGCACCACCTAGCTGCCCCAAGTCTACAGGGTGCACTTTACTCTGCATCCAGATGGAACAAGAGGCAAGCAACTATGTTTTTGTTACCACCCTAATCTAACCCCTTTAAGCCTACAGGTCTAGAGCTTCATAGATATTCTAATGGTACTTTGTTACTCTCCATCAACTGAGTCAAGGGATCACTTCTGCTAATTTTATCATTTTTAGTGTCAGAGAGCTTGATCAGGGAGTCTGGTCAATATTGAATGTTTACAAATAAAAATTGCTAGCAGAGTTAAAATTCACTTGTCTCTATTAAACATATTCTCAATGTGTTTCAGCATCTTGGAACTTCTAAATCCAAAATTTTGCTTTTTTTTTTTTTTGGTGAGGCAATTGGGATTAAGTGAGTTCTCCGGGGTCACACAGCTAGTAAGTGTCAAATGTCTGAGAATGGATTTGAACTCAGGTCTTCCTGACTCCAAGACCAGAGCTCTATCCACTGTGCCACCTAGCTGCCCCTTAAATCCAAAATTTTGGCCTACTGGGGAAAGCTTCAAACTTCAAGGGTAGTTTCTAGCAAAAATGGTCATCTAAAAACAGTTTTCCTACCTCTTCACTCCGTTTTAGCTCTTTCTAATCCAGGATCATTAGAAGGCAATAAGACAACAATTAAAGCAATAGGATTTGAGTTTCTTGTGGAAGTCCTCAGGCAGTTTTGTCCTTGGGGGAGAGGGGGTGGAATTGCTGCTGGATGCTAAACATCAAAAGACCTGGCTCACACAGCAATTTATCTTATTTGCAGGCCCCTGGATTTCATTGGAACATTCAATAATCGATGGTCATATGGAGTTGCATTCGGAGCTGCAGCAAATAAAGTCATGTTCTTATTTTCTGAAGGCTACCAGCCCCTGCAAGTACCACAGTGGGCACAAGGTAGTGAAGTTTTTTGTTGCTGTTGTTATTTTTTTTTTAACTCATGTTGATTTCTTCTCCATTCAGCAAAATGTTGCTACTCTTCTCTAGAGACCTTCAGAAATGGAATCTGTCCTCATTTGTTGGGAAAGGCTTAGCTGGTGTGAAAAGTGAAAATGAAGTCCCTTCAGGAGCTCTTCCTGAGGCTGTGAAACCATGATAGCAAGCTTTCTTGGACTTCATGTTGTTTTGCCTAGGATGACTATGGCTCCCTTACAACAGTAAATGAAATAAGGCACTGAGTTGCTGAATTCCTTCCCATAAGTGATTGTATGTTATCTATCAGTATTGATTTGCCTTGATTTTACCAACTTACAAATGACCCATATTAGAGAGCTGGGATGGTTGTATATATACTTGACATACATATTTCCACTCCTGCCTCCATTGCCATGCAAACTATGGGAAAGAACTTGGAGGTTTTTAGGGAGTCTGTGGGTTCAAAAATGGATGGTGGTTTAAAAATTGTCAAAAAGTATCAACAACTTACAGGCACTTGTCCTGATTACTTATAGCTCAGTAAAGCTGATCGGCCTCCCTCTTGGCCAGCCTGCCTCTACATATCCATCCATGAACTGCTTGGATTTGTTTTCTACTTTGCTTTGTTACATGGTCTGACATTCTACCAATGAGAGAATAACAATAATAACAACAACTCATATTTATATAAACTTTAAAATTCTCAAAGTTCTTTTATATAAAATTTCTTATTTGGTTTAACAAGCCTCCTCTTTTAAAGAGAGGCAGCCGAGTGTGGGGCAGAGGGTAAGAATACTCAACTTGGAGTCAGGAAGACCTGAGTTCATATCCTGCCTCATACACTTACTAGTAGTGTGGCCCTGGGTTACTTAACCTCTCTTAGGCTCAGTTATCTCAACTGTAAAATGAGCATAATAATAGCATCTACCTCCCAGGGGTTTTGTAAAGATCATGTGAGAGAGTATTTGTAAAAAGTGTTTAGGACAGTGCCTGACATAGTAGGGGCTATATAAATGCTTGCTATCATTGATATTTATTGTAATTGTTACTCTATGAGTCGTGTCCAACTCTTCATGACCCCATTTGGGTTTTTCTTGGCAAAAGTTTTGCCAAGTTTCCATTTCCTTCTCCAGCTCATTGGACAGATGAGGAAACTGAGGCAAACAGGATTAAGTGACATGCCCAGGGTCACACAGCTAGTAAGTGTCTGAGGCCGGATTTGAACTCAGGAAGATAAGTGTTCCTGACCCCAGGCCTAGCACTCTATGCACTGCACCACCTTACTGCCCTATTACTGCTATCATGTGTTGCTTTACAACATCTCAAGCTTTGACAAGGTCTATTGTACAAGGGAAGGTTGTGGGGCTGCTTATAGCACCAAAATGTTCATTGACTTCTGCTGGAAAGGAAGAGAGAGAGGCTAGTCTACATGGAACTACATTCATTCATAAGTCTAGCAATGCAAACTGGTGCCTGGGTTCATTCAGGTCACTGCTATGAAGCAGTAGCCTACTCCATTTAGAAATGATGGTCTTCACTGTGACAAAATAATGTAACTGAATCATTAACACCATTTACCCTTTCTCTCCTCAGCTATTGTACTCCTGATAGGAGGCATCGAAGTTGGACTCTCACATTTTCCATTTTTTGCCTGCCTTTCATCAGACTTTCGACTAATAAGTTCCATTCTTGGATTTATGTACTCTCTAATTTGGTAAGAAGCATGATGTTTACACATGGCTCCTTTGAAAAGTCCTTGTAGCAACACTAGTCATAATTTTTTTAATCTATTAATAATTGAGTAATCTCCTTTAGAAATCAGGATATCTGAGAAGGTGAGAATGCACCTCAGCTCTTATTTGAATATTTCATCAATATCCCATTTTTTTTTTGCATCTCTCATTCACTCACTTTTTAGGTCCTATTGCCTCTCAGGTAGAACACATACAGAACCTAATATTTAAAAACCTCTACAATCAGCCTGTAAGCTATTATGTCCCAACATTATCCCACTCTCCTTCATGCATTCTACATCACAGCCAAATTGAACTATTGTTTCCTGACTTCAATATGCCATCTCCCATTTTTGCACATTCATACAAGCCATGCCCTTTACCTGGAATGGACTCCCTCCTCATCCCTGCCATTCAAAATCCTCTCCATTTAAGGTAGGAGTTTTAAATCTTTTACGCATGTCATGGACCCCATGGACCTTTCTCAGAAAAAAAGTTTTCAAGTCCATAAAATACATAGAATTAAAAAGAAAATCAATTACATTGCAATACAATTGTCAAAATAATTTTTTAAAACTTCATGGACCCTAGGTTTAGGACCTCTGTTTTAAAGCTTAACTCAGGTGTTACCTCTTCTGTATAGGCTTCCTGCCCTCCTCCCCTCCCCGCACAAAATGTTCTCTCTCTCTCCTCAAACATTTCTAGAGCACTTTATCTGGATCACCCCTCCCTCCTCATCACCCCTTACCTTGTATTATTCTTGTCTTTGGATGTGCCACGTTATATGTCCCCTAGTGGCACCCCCATCTCACCAAGTAATCTCTTTGGAGGCTGGGGCTTTTCTCACCTACGTTTCTGAAATTAGATAGAATGTCACTATGACAATAAAATTCCTAATCAGAGCAATGAAATTCAAAGCAGAAGGAAACAGCCCTGGTTCCTGACCCGCAGTAGTTATAAGGCTGACGCTGTTTGAAAATACAGTTCATTAGAGACTCCACCGTACGGGATGGGAGCTGAACCTACAATTTCATTCATATAGAAACCTTCTAGGGGAGGAAATTCCCTCCTTCAATTCAGGTTGTCAAAGTAGAGTCTCAGAGGGCTGCCCAGAGCATTGAAAGGTTGAGTGATTTGCCGGCGTCCTACAGGTGTCTCACCTGTCAGAAGTGGGATTAAATCCAGGTCTTCCTGGCTTTGAGACCCACTTCCTAACTGTCCTGCCTAGCTGCCTCTCCATTTTCCAGGATAGGGTAGGGGTGCAAGGGGAAGAAGTAGGGTGCATATATACATTTGTAGTCCTGGTATTTGATTTTTTAAAATTTGTTATTTTAATATTGCTCCTTGTCCTGCTTGAGAGAAATACATCATTTCCTTTTTCTAGACCTCAGAATCTAGAAAATGAGATTGGACAAGGAGGTCTTCAAAATCTCTTTCTGTTCTAAAGTTCTGTGATGCTGTGAATCATCCTTTCCACACAGGTGTGCTAAGCAATTGAGGGGAGTGGAGTAACAACCAAAATTGGTGGTGGTGTTTTTTTTTCAGGTTTGTCATCACAACCTTGCATATTGTCCAGTGTCCACATGGGCAGGTAAGTCAGCCCAGGGAAGGAACAGTATTTTAATACATTCATTTGCCCTCTAAGAAGCAATTTGCACAAATGGTCTTTAAATGAGTAAAAGAATGAGGAATCAACTGTTTTCCCTGTCTGCATCTGCCCATTCCTAGGAAAATGTTCAGAGTAAAGCCTGGATTAGACCAAGATCAAAGCATGTTTCTCTAAGCTAAATCAGAGCTGAACAATGATTAGAAGGTTGGAGTCAGAAAGACCTAGGTTCAAAGCTTGCTTCTGACTATGTGATTATGGGTAAGCCATTTAGTCTCAGTTTCCTCATCTGTAAAATGAAGATAATACCTTTAGTACAAGGGTACAATAGTGGAAATTCATTCCTTTTAACCCTGTCCATAAGCTTAGTGGTATTTATAATTTTTATTTCAATATGTTTGATTTCCTACCTTACCTTAATATATTTTATTGTATGCATTTTAAAAGATTATTCTGGTGTCCATAGATTTCACCAGACTGCCAAATGAGTCCATGACATAAAAAGGCTTAAGAACTCTTGCTCTAATACTTTTCTTAAAAGACTGTGTGAGCCTGAAATGAGACAATGAACATGTGTAAAACACTTGGCAAACCTAAAAGCACAAAGCCAGCTCAAGCAACAGGAACACCCCAAGCCCAAGCACCCTTATCCCAAGTGGAGTGCTCCCAAGCAGGAAGCTTTGAAGATCAGGGACTTGCTGCTGAAAAAGACACAAGAGTCACAGCATGTGAGACAGATCCAGAGCTGGAAGGTCCCTCGGAGGTCTCCTAGTTCAACCCCTTTATTTTCAAACAATGGAACTGAGGCCCAAAGAAAATTAAATGACTTGTCTAAAGTGACAAAGATAGTAAGTGTCTGAGGCTAGATTTGAACCTAGGTCTTTGACTTTATATCCATATTCTTTCCACTGTATTACTTGGGCAAAACAGATCCCTCCCCTGCATCCTAGGCCATCTCCAGTCGTCCTGACCAATATCTTGCCACCGGACCCAGATGGTTCTGGAGGAGAAAGTGAGGCTGGTGACTTTGCACAGCCTCCCTCACTTAAATCCAATTCACTTGCAAGTCATGGCATCACCTCCCTGATATCACGGTCCTCTTCGAGAAAAAAGGACAAACAGCAGCACTAGCGATGGCGGCAGCAGCAAAGGACACCTTGGTGTCCTTTTCCATTCCATAGACCTAACATTGATATTTGCAGTAGCCACCTATAGCAGCCAGGTGGCGCAGTGGATAGAGTGCTAAACCTGGAATAGGGAAGATTTGAGTTCAAAACCAGCCTAGGACACTTATTAGCTGTCTGACCTTGGACAAGTTAGTTCATTTCTGCTTGCCTCAATCTCCTCAACTGTAAAATGGAGATACTAAGAGTGCCAACATCCTAGGGTTGTTGTCAGGATCAAATGAGAGAATATTTGTAAAGCATTTAGCAGAGGGTATGGCATACGGTAGGCACTATATAAATACCTGTTCCCTTCCCTATTACATAGACAGACACACACACACACACACATTTAGACTTTCATGTAAAGAGATGCTAGGAGATTGAAGTAGTTGCTCACCCATCATTCAGATACCCTGGTGTTGACCCTGCTTTGAAATATCACAATCAGAGCATTAGATTGTCTTCATTTCCCAAAGTTATCTAAGCAGAAGAATAAAACAAGACTGCTGCAAAGAGAGAACCTGGAATAAAAATGAAAAAGGCAAAACCCTTTTCTGAACAATTAATAAATTATGAAGCTTTCAAAGAAGCTGTCAGGTTTTAGTATCTGATAAGAATGAAATGGAGTATGGAAAACAATGACCTTGTGACCAAAACTGAATGAAAAATGAGATATTGAGCCAGGGCCAACCTAAACAGTAGAAAGGCTGGGGTGCTGAGCAAGGCTCTGGACCAAAATATTCTCCCATCACCTGTTGTGGTTGCTGAAATTTCACCATTAGAAATTCATTCCTTTGAATTATCCAGATTTTTTTTTCATCTCCAGGAATAACCTTTAAATAACAAAATAACCTCAGATAAATAGAAAAGATAGATAATTAGAAATAGATAAATTAGATAAAATTCCAAGTTAGTGCTTATCAACTAACAATTTAGGGGGAATTATGATGTTGAACATAAGGTAGCCTGTCATGGTAGTCAAAACATTGCATTTGGAACTGGGAAGACCTGGGTTCACATCCTGCCTCATATTTTTACTAGCTCTGAAACTATGGACAAGTCACTTAACCAATTTGAGTCTCAGGCAGCATTCCTTTCACTGATGCAAATCAACAACTTCTCTGTAACACAATATTAGGGTATTGCCTTTGTCCCTGAGAGCTTAAGTGATTTGCCCACAGTCACAGAGCTAACTAGTATGTGTCAGAGACAGGATTGGAACTCTGATGCAGACTCGGAAAGAATGTGTCTTCCTGACTTAAAGGCCCACCCACTAACCACTACATTAAACTACCTCTCAAGGGAATAATACTATTGATAATATCTCACATCTGGATATCAAGTTACAGTTTACAAAACACCTTCACATAAACTATCCAATTTGTTCCTTGGATCAAGTCCTTTTCTCAACATGAGAGAGAAGCAAAAAGATGGTGGCAGAATGGGAAGGGAGAAAACAAGTATTTATTAAGCACCTACTATGTGCTAGGCCCTGTGTTAAGAACTTTACAAACATTATCTCCTTTGATCCTCACAATATCCCTGGGAGTTGGGTGCTATTATCATGCCCATTTTACAACTGAGGAAACTAAGATGGACAGAGCTTAAGTGACCTTTCAGGATCCCACAGCTAGTCAGTATCTGAAGGCAGATTTGTACTCAGGTCTTCCTTGACAACAGGCCTTGACAACATCCACTGTGCTATCAATCAGTACCAAGAAACCTCAATTCTAGTACCAACTCTGCCACAGACTAGCAGGTGTGAGCCTGAACAAGTTTCTCCACCTCTCTGAGGCTCATTTTCCTCCACATAAAATGGGACTGGGTTGGTGGTTAGATGGAAAATCACTAAGCCTCCTTCTCCCTTTGAAGTGTCATATCCAAGTGAGGGTAACCAAGGCAAACTTCCATTGTATTTGGAGCAGATACTCCTTCCTTCCTTCCTTCCTTCCTTCCTTCCTTCCTTCCTTCCTTCCTTCCTTCCTACATGTGAGACCTTGGAAGTCCTATATTTACCTGTTTTGGTTTCTATTGCAGCTAATTGGGGAGTACGAAACAGTTATCTTCTACTGGCCCTCCCTGCTCTGTCTGGCTTTCCTCTTAGGCCGTTTTGTGTACATGTTTGTAAAAGCTCTGAAGATTCATCTAGGCTTGGAGGTTCAAAATGTGAGTAGCACCCATATCTACACCTATGCTATCTTTAAAAAAATAGTCAGCTTTATGATTATCTATTTAAGATGTCTGTGTGCCCATGTAAGATATGTATGTCCACATGGGTTGTCTAAAATGTGGTTGGAAAAATATCTTTGGAATCTTGCCCATGCCTTTTCCAAGGGAGATTATACTTCCTGCCTTGAGATAAACAGAGAAAGGGCCATGTATCTCTAAGGGGGGGGAGTACTGGATTAGAATCATATCTGTCTTCTTCCCTAAATATTGATGATGTAGAGATACAATAGGTTGAACACAATAGCTACTTTCCTGTCATTAGACTTTAAGGGGAGAGGGTAACCCTAAACTTATACTCACTGGCATGGAACCTTCCCACCAAATGCTGGTTACTCAAAAGACCATCAAAATCTTGTTTTTCAAGAAAATTCATTTATCCAAGCAAAAGAGCAAAGAGAAATTGGAGAAGCTACAAAGATTAGAGTGTATCAGAAAAACACACGAGTGAATGAGCTTTTTTGATGACAGCAAGATAAGATGCCACCTTGAACCAAGTGATATCACCCAAAGAGACATTCTCTTTCCAAAGCATCTCTCTGTGTCTCTCTCTTTGTCTCTCTCCCCAAAGTATCTCTCAAAGAATGTGTTTCTCTGTCTCTCTCCTCTCTGCTTCTCTCAGACTCTCTACTTTCTCTCTCTCTCCAAAGCACCTCTCTTTCAAAGAATGCCTCTTTCATATCCTCCCTCTCCCCCTCTCTTTCTCTCCTCTCTTCTTTCTCTCACTGTCTCTCTCGTTTCTCTCTCCTCATTCTCTATTTCTCTTCTCTCTGTGTCTTTCTCTCTATCTTTCTTTATCTTCTTGCTCTCTTTGTCTCTCTCTCCATCTCTCTTCTCTTTCTCCTCTCCTCTTTTCTCTGTCTCTTTCTTGTCTCTCTCCTCTCTCTGTTCGTTCTCTCTTTCCTGTCTTTCTCCCTTTTCTCTATCTTTCTGTCTCGACCCTCTCCTTGCTCTCTGTTTCTATTCCTTCTCTCTCTCCTCTCTTCTGTCTGTCTCGCTGTCTCTGTATCTCTGTCTCTTTGTCTTTCTCTGTCTCTCTATCTCTATCTCTGTTTGACTCTCGCTCTTTGTCTCTGTCTCCATATGTCTTCACTTGTCTGTCTCTTCTCTCTCTCTCTCTCTCTCTCTCTCTCCCCCTCTCCTCTATGTGCAGCATCATATAAAATGCCATAAATCACACATGCAAACAATTTCCTTTATGCACAACTACTTAATAATTCCCTTGTTCATTTTGCCGTGAAATGCACTGACAAATCTCAAAATGAATCAGTGTGTGGGGAAATGGAAAAAGAATAAAACTACAAAACAAACAAAATAAGATCCTGGAGTGGTTTGCCATTTCCTTTTCCAGGAAATGTTTTTCCCATCACTTAGATTTCCTCTAATCTTTCTTACCTCAAACAGACAAATAGAGTTCATTTTCATCACCTTCCCTCAATTAGCAGGTGACCCAGAGCAAAGAATCGGTCTGTATAAGCCATGATAAGGTCTTCTCTCCTTTATAAAACAAATCCTCCAGTTGTGTCTGACTTCTTATGTCTAGGCCAGGGGTGGGGAACCTGCATCCTTGAGGCCACATATGGCCCTCTAGGTCCTCAAGTGCAGCCCTTTGACTGAATCCAAACTTAACATAACAAATCTCAGAATCTGAGGAGCCCGACAGCCACATATGGCCTCCAGGTCACTCCAGTAGACGCTCCCACACCTCCACAACATTTGCGTAACTCAGAAGGAGTCATAACTAAGACAGAGTGACAGGGGTTTTTCACAAGAGTATCAAATTTAGAAGGTACCAATGGGAAAAATAAATGAACTTAGCACCTAGTTAGCAGGAATACTTTGTTAAAATAAGAAGCTACCACAAGACCCATTTCATGTCTCATCTAGGTAAGCTCCTTGCCTTTCCTCTCACTGGGAGCTTCCTGCTCCCCGATACCTGCAGCTGCCTTGTGATGGCCAGGGTATCTGTCACTGCTGCCCCCCTCCCCACCCCCACCCCCCCGCTTTCCAAATGCTTCCCCCAGGTACATAAATTGTTAGTTACAGCTCTGGTCTCAGGCAATAGCTGAAAATATGCCCCCTGTGGCTTATGAAAGGTAGTGAATTCTCATTCAATACATAAGACTTAGGAGACAACTTAATGTAATGAAAAGTGAGCTGGGGTTGGAGTCTGAAGGCCTGAATTTGAATTCTACCTCCAAAACCTAATACATTTGGACCCCATGGACACAACTGCTCAGATCTTTAGTTTCTTCATTAATAAAATAGAAATGATAATTCACAGAATTGCTGAGAGGAAAACATAAAAACCTCAAAGCACCATATCAATAGGGATAGGGACAAAATTTGTGATTTCAATAATAGGGAGAATTCCTAAGTGAGGCAATTCTCTTTTCCATTGCAAGTTGCCACCTTTTCCAATCAGAGTTGCCTAGAGGTTAGGTGACTTGCCCAGGGATACATGGCCAGCATGTATCAGCGGGGCTACTCAAACCTAAATCTTCCTGGCTGCAAGACTGGCTCTCTCTCCACTGTGCAACTATGCCTATCACTATCTATACCAGCATTTAAATCAACGTAAATTATTGTAGCAGGATAACCAGGTGCTATAGAGAATGGAATTTCTGGCATTTGAAATACCGGTATTTATAAATTTTCCCTCATTGTTCATCCTACTCTTTCCTCACAATCAGAGGGTTTTAGCTCCTGGAAGCTAAGGACTGGAGGCCCGCAGAGGAGGGGAGGGGGACGGCAGATAGAGAGAAGGTAGGTCTTCAGCATTCCCTTTTTTATACAGAAAAGGATTCCATCTCTGCGACAATAATTCACACTGATACAATGCTGACACTTTGGCAATGTTTCAATTCTTCAGTTCCAAGTGGGATATTAAGGAAATTTGGGTAGAAGAGCAGACATAAGACCAGAGCATTTTTCTTTCTTATTTCTGCATAGGATATAGAAATCTGTTGCCTGTGGGAACTAAGGAGCTATAAAAAAGGGGGGAGGGTGGACAAACTACTTCATTTGGGCATTGCAGTGATTTTTGGAAATAGGGAGCACCCTCAGCAGTTGAGGGATATGACGTAAAAGTGATAAAAACAATGAACTGCACAGATAAGCAGGAGGAAAATAGTCTCTGTAGAGGCAGCCAGGTGGCATAGTAAATAGAGTGTGAGGATTAAAGTCAAGAAGACTGAATTCAAATATGGCCTCAGACACTTAACAGCTGTGTGGGCAAGTCACTCAACCTCTGTCTGCCTCAGTTTACTCAACTATAAAAAGGGGGAAATAATAGTGCCTACTTCCCAGGTATCTATATTTTCAGAATAGATGGAAGGTAATCTAAAGTGGGGGAAGTAGCTAGATGGCTCAGTAGATAAAGCTCTGGATTTGGAATTAGGAGGACCTGTGTTCAAATGTGGCTTTAGATACTTACTAGCTGTGTGGCCTTGGGCAAGTCACTTAACCTTTGTTTGCTTAGGAGGCAGGTAGGTGACTCAGTAGAAAGTGTGCTGGGGAAAGTGTTCCTGAGTCAGGAAGACCCGAATTCAAATTTCTTACCTCAACCAGACAAATAGAGTTCATTTTCATCACCTTCCCTCAATTAGCCGGTGACCCAGAGCAAAGAATTGGTCTGTATAAGCCATGATAAGGTCTTCTCTCCTTTATAAAACAAATCCTCCTTACCACCTGTGTGACCCGAGGCAAGTCATTTAACCTCTATTTGCCTTAATCTACTGGAGAAAGAAAGGGCAAACCACTCCAGTATCTGTCCCAAAAGAGCCCCATGGACAGTACTGGTGTGCTATGGTCTATGGGGTCACAAAGAGTCAGACACAACTAAACAGCAACAACAATCTAAAGGGAAAGGCACTAGCTCTAAGGGGGCCCTGTAAGGAGGATCAAGAAAGGCCCACTGCAGATGGTGGGTTTTGTGCTAAGTCTTTAAGGAAGTCAGAGAAACTAATAGGCTGGAGGGGAAGAAGGAAAGCATTCTAAGCATGGGAGACTGCCAATGCCAAAGCACAGAGATAAAGATGGAATATCATAGCTAAGAAATGGCAGATGAGCCAATGTAGCTGGATCATAGAGTGCATAGAAGGGAATAAATCATAAGGAGATTGGAAAGGTCAAAACCCTTCTCCTTTTCTCATAGGAAGAAAGATCCTTCCTGGAAGTTCATCAAGCAGAGCATGTGAAACAGCTCATGAGGAAACCACCAGAACAGTGAGTAAGACTCAGTTACTTATCCCTGACCTAAGCAGGCCATCTGACTTCTGATATTCCTCATCATTCCTCCCTGATTCTGTGGAGGGGGTCGACTGTTATGTCACCCCATTCTCCCCAACCAATCCTTTATAGACACTCTGCCTCTTTTCTCCTTCTCAGTGACAATGGACACCTCCCTTGAGCTAAAATGGCAGGACTCAGAAATTTTCTTGCTTACTTTATTACAAAGTTGGATACAAATGAAAAATGACTGAACAATAACAACAAAAATGACTTTATGTGCCTCCAGGGAAGGGGAGAAATCACATAAAGAAAGACCCTTCTCTAGACCTCCATGTTTTTTCTAGGCAATTTGCAGGTTGGTCTCTTGTGGTATCGTTTAAAAGTGATCATTTAAACTATGTATATATTTTTGCAATATGTATATAATTAAATGTTTGGGGTGTTTGTGATCCCCTCCCCAAAATAATCAAATCAGAGACTTTTTCTTAAGAAAGGCAAAAAGGAGTTTTATTGCTTTCTCATGAGAAAGGACACACCCGGCATCGCGCAAGATGGCTCCAGCCAGCGCGCACGTGTGTGTGTGTGTGTGTGTGTGTGTGTATATGTGTGTGTGAGAGACAGAGAGAGAGAGAGAGAGAGAGTGCAGCTCAAAGCCAGTTTATATAGACCCTAACGCGGAACCCCCACCCACCCACTAGCTCCTCTTCCCATTGGCTGGGTTTCAGAGCTCACAGTCTAAGGACGGAAAATTTTCCCCAGCAACAAGGTTGCAAAAAGGCGCCAAACAAGGAACTGTTGGTTCAGCAGGAAAGTAAGATAAAAGGAGGGGAGGGCCGGAAAGCCTGGACAAACAAGATACTTTTGGGGACATCGCTCGATGTACTCCCTTATCTTGTTTACATATTTGTGTAATCAATAACCTAATCTCCCCCTGTCCTGTTTTCTTATCAATTGTGTGGGAACCAACTGTTAGCATTCCTCACAGATATATAATGAACATCAATTATGACATTTAATAAAAACTCAGTTCAACAAGCTTTTATTAAATGATACAACTATTATACAGACAAAAAAAGTCAAAACAGTTCTTACCTTCAAGGAATTTATATTCTACTAGGGAAAACAAGATGTACCCAGATAAGTAAATATATGTATGTATGTATGTGTGTGTGTGTGCATGTGTGTATAATTAAAGAGCACTAACAGCAGTGGATGGACAAGAATGAAGGACAAACAACAAGAAAAAATTCATTTTAATGTACTTTATATACCAAGCAGTACTTTGAGGAGGACAAGAGCATAAAGATGTAATCAAACCATGATAACATGTAACAACTCAAAACATGTAGCACAGGGTAAGAGTAACAGCCCAAAGTAAGCCTTCAATAAATATTTAAGAAATAAATGAACCCTGCTAGGGTTAAAATTACTGTACCTTACATTCCATCAAGTACTTTTCTATTCAGGGACACCAACCTCCTTGCTGTTCCGTGAACAAGACACGCCATCTTCCAACCCCAGGAATTTTCTCTGGCTATCCCCCATGCCTGGAATGTTCTCCCTCCTCATCTCCCCTGCCTGGCTTTCTTCAAGTCTCAGCTAAAATCCTACCTTCTATAGGAAGCCTTTCCCAATCCCTTTTAATTCTGGTGCCTTCCCTCTATTGATTATTTCCTATTTTTCCTGGTTATAGTTTTTTTTAACCTATTTGTTTGCTTGTCTCCCCATTAGATTGTGAGCTCCTGGATGGTAGGGATTGTCTTCTGCTTTTCTTTGTCTCCCACTCCAGCACTTAGCACAATGTCTGGAACAAAGTAGGAACTTAATAAATGTTTTACTGATTGACATTTTCCTCTGAAATTTCACATTTCTAAATTAGTATTGTCATGATGGCTGGCAAACAAAAGCACTACGCAGATGCTAAAAATGGAATCTTAGTAAAATGGATGAGGGTGTGGCACTTGTATAGATATGATACCTTATATTTTATAGCAACTTAAATTTTTCAAAGCATATAACTCATGTGTAATTTCACAAGCATCACAGAATTCTAAGGATCCTTCCTTGAATTTGTTGTTAATGACATTTTGTTCAGTTGTTTCAGTTATGTCTGACTCTTCCTGACCCCATTTGGGATTTTCTTGACAAAGATACTGGAGTGACTTGTCATTTCCTTCTTCAGCTCATTTTAAAGATGAGGAACTGAGACAAACAAGGTTAAGTGACTTGCCCAGGGTCACACAGCCAGGAAGTGTCTGAGGTCAGATTTGAACTCAGGCAGATGAGCCTTCTGACTCCAGGCCTAGCACTCTATCACCTAACTCCTTCATTTGCATTTCCTAAATAAGCTTCCCACATACTTACGCGCTATGGGAGCATTGAGGTAGCCTAGAACAGAAATTATTACGTGCAGGTAACAAGCACAGAGAAATAACATGACTTCACAGAAATTTCCCTACAAAGATAACACAAGGAAGAGATTCTGACATCCACATAATGGGAAAGAAGGGCATCATTTTTTGAATAATTTATGATTTATTCATCCACCTCAGATCTATTTGGGTTTATTTATCTACAGAGAAGAAGAGAAATCCTGGTTCCAACGGAGGATCTATGAGTGGGATCCTTATTTTCAGTTCCCAAGTCGTATGATTGGTGCTACTGTATTAGCCTTCATCTGCTTATATCTTGTAAGTAAATCAGATCCTTTTCTAGGTTACAAATATGGGAAGATAAGATCACTTTATGCAATAGACATGCTCTTAAGAAACTGTACAAAGTGAATTTTTTTCAACACCTTTGTTTTAAATGTCCTAAGGTGAACTCACTAGTTAAACTAACTGTATAATAATTTTTTTTAAAGAATCCTCTTCATAATTTGATTAACCCCAGAGGACAATCAAATGGGGGGGAGGGGAGACATAGGACTAATCTGCCGTTTCTGTGCTTTTTCAGAGGACAGAGAGGAAAAAGCACCAGCCCAAGTCCCTAGGAACCTCATCTACTAGCCTAGAATAAAGATTTCATCTAGCTTTGTGGAATGGATTCAAACCAGTGCATGCTTATTACAAGTCCCAGTGGATAGAGGGTCTGGGTTTGGAGGCAGGAAGGTATTTACCTATTCTGCTTCTGCCATTTTCTAGTTTTATGCTCATGGTCAACCACTTAACCTCTATATGCCTCAAACAACTTACTAATCATAGGGTTTACATTTTCCATTACTGAGGGGAGTTTTCACACTGCTAGGGATCACAAATCTTTCATATTTTCCATGTAAGTTTTAAGAATTTCAGTTCAAGGTATAAAAACTGAATGGAGTTATCTCTGAGTATCTAACCACGTAAATGATCCAATTCAATTCAGTTCAAGACTCTTATATAAAATGTTTTTGTAAGTATCATGGTCCATTAGGGGTTGTTGTTTTAGACTTTAACTAATCTCAAACATAATATTGTAGTTTGCTTAAAACACTGCAACGTCAATATATCAGAGTAATACTTTATTGTCATGATCATACTGAAAAAGATTTGTATATTTTAATGAGCAGCAAACTCAATATGGCAGCTCACATAGACTTGGGATGAATTAAGAGGCATAGCTTCCTGCAAGTGTTCATTCTCAGTATCCTCTACTGTTTTATCATCCAAATTATGCCCCCTAGTTTTGGGTGATCCCCAGTGTTCTATCCTAGGCCCCCTCTTCTTACCACTATACTCTCCCTTGGTGTCCTCATCACTTCCTATGGGTTTAATTATCATTTCCATGCAGATGGCATACACACACACACACACACACACACACACACACACATATATATATACATGCATGCATACATATATTAATATATACATACACATACACATACACATATCTGTGTATATGTGTGTATACCCAGTTTTTCCCCTAAATTTCAATCTTGTATCACCAGTTACATATTGGACATTTCAAATCAGATGACCCACAGACATCTCAAATTCAACATGTCTAAAACAGAACTCATTATCTTTCTCCTCTTCCAAACTTTCCTGTTTCTGTCAAAGGTACAACCATTGCCAGATCTGATAGTATTTTTTTTTTTTTCAGGTCAAAGGCATCATCATTCATTCATTCATTTATTCACCCATTCACTCATCTTCTCAGGTTCATAACCTTGGCTTTATCTTTGACTCCTCACTTTCAACCCAAAGAGCAGCCAAATCTTCTTTCTCCACAACATCTCTCACCTGACTCCCCTTTTCTCTACTCACATAAGGACCACTGTAGTTCAAGCCGTCATCAACTCTTACCTAAATTATTGCTAGGGTCTGCTATTTGGTCTGCTTGTCTCAAGTCTCCCCACTTTAATCCATCCTCCATATTGCTGTCAAAGGAATTTTCTTAAGTATAGATCTGACCATGTCATTCCCCTACTCAATCAATTTTAGTGGCTTTCTATGATATCTAAAATAAAATAAAAATTCCTGTACTTATCTTTTAAAGTCCTTCACAACCAGGCCCCACCCTATCCTTCCAATCTCATTGGACATTACTCCTCCTTCTGCACTCAGTAATCCAGTCAAATTGGCCTTCTCTCTGTTCCTCACACACAACAGCTCCCATCTTTGAGGCCTTGCACAGGCTTTCCATCAGGCTTGTAACATATTCCCTCCTTTATTCTGTTTCCTAAACTCCCTGTCTTCCTTCTGTAGCAATTAAAAATCTTTGAGAGACATAATTTCTAGGTATTTAATCATTTTAGTAATAAAGCGAGCACATTTATTAATAAAAAGTTGGTCATTTGGCTGTCTCTCTTAGACCAAGGACAATCATGTCTGGGCTCATGACTTATATGTTCTTTTGGAAGAGGAATGTTCAAAAGGATGGCTATCAACTCTGCTTAGTTAATAATTAATGAGACAATGAATATTATAATGAGGTGCTGGATCTGGACTTTGATTATGTCATCCACTTAAATTCCTCCCAGCCTTGGGTAATCCATCCAAAGAATTTACGCCCCACCTAAGCCTGAGCAGAACACAAGGGATGCCACACCTGGGTGGGATCTGAAGAGAAAGTTAGTCCCATCTCATTATTAGCAATGTCTTTCAAGAGACTGAACTTTTGAAATCAGGACTTTAGAAAAAGGGGAAACTCTGGATCTCCCCAAATCATTGGTTATTAATAATCATTTCTCTCACTTATTACATGTGGTTCAAGCACTTCTATATGAAACCATTCCTGACAATGACTTCAGCCCCCCCTTCCCAATCACTTAGTATTTATTTCTTTTACATTTATTCTGTATATGTTTATATATGTATTTGTTGTTTCCTCTATCAGAATGTAAGTTCCTTATGAGTTGGGATTGCTTCATTTATTGTATTTATATCCCCAGTGCCTAGGATTGTGCCTGCTTAATAAATTTTTGTTGATTGATCAATTAATAAGATGGAGAAATCCAGAGGAGGCCAACCAAAATGATTCAAGGCTTCATGTACATGCCTAATAAAATAATAATAACGCAAATAACAACAACAATAATAATATCTAGCATTCATATAGTGCTTTAACACTTGCAAAGCACTTTACAAATATCTCATTTTGTTCTCATAACACTAGGAAATAGGTGCTATTATTGTCTCCATTTTACAAAAGAGAACGCCAAAGCAGAGAGAGGTTAAATGACTTATCCAACGTCACCCAGCTATTAAGTATCTGAGACTACATTTGAAATCAAGTCTTTTTGACTCTGAAGCCAGCACTCTATCCACTATACCACCTAGGACTGATTAAAATAACTGGACATACTTAACCTGACGAAGGGAAGATTCAGGGAAGACATAATAGCTGCCTTCAACAATCCAAAGGCTGATAAGGTGGAAATGGAATTTGGCCTATTCTGTTTGGCCATGAAGCTCATAACTACTTAAGTAATAAGGAAAAAATGAAAAGGATTAAGTTAAAGCTTTCTAAAAATTAGAACAGTCCAAAAGTTGAACAGGTTGCTTCAGGGTATGGTATATTCCCTCTCTTTGGAAGTCCTCAAGCAAAGGCTGGATGACTACTTTTCAGGTAGGCAAAAGAGGAAATTATGGATTGGCAGGGTATGGCTGCCTAGTTCCCTCCCAACTCTAAAATTCTATAGCAGATTTGGGATGAATGTGAAAAGTCATCTCGTACAATACTTATGTAGACAGGAAAGCCCCCGTGGGACCTACTTTGTCTTTACTGGTGAGTGTGTGAGTGCAAAGTCACATGGCCCTCCATATCTAGCCATTCTCAATGATGCTTCACATCCTGATCCTCTTCTTCTCATCTACCATTACATTTCACTCTGGACCATTGGATTTCTAGAGGCCATACCCTTAGGGTCTTAATCCACTCAGCTTTGAACTCCTCCTTTGGGGCCCATGCTGTCCTGACTACCAGCCCTAGCCATGTTTCACATGCTTCCCCGATTCATTTTCTTGTCCTGGCACATGCCAGATCACTAGTCTGAGTACATGAGTGCAAACTCTCATGTGCCATTACATCCATCGGGCCTCAGCCATGCTTCACATCTTGGCCATTTTCTTTCCATCTGCCCTTTCAGTGGTACTACACTCACCTGATCACATGACCTCTGGCTCCAGATATAATGCCCTGTGGAACTTAATACATTCATCTTAGAAACTTCCACCCTAGGAAAATTTGTTGTCTTGACTCACTGAGTGTGTACGCATAAAGTCACACGTCTCCTTTGTCATTTTCTTGCCTGCTGCTTCTATGCATACACTCTCTTTCCTGCTTACTTATTTACTACTGCTCTTGTTACTTGAAAGGGTGTATCATTCCTATGGCTCCAATATCCAACCCTATGATTTCCCAGCCTAAAACACCCTCTCTGGCCACCTCTCCCCTCTATGAGTTGTCTCCCCCTATTAGAATGCAAGCTCTTTGGAGGCACAGACTGTCTCAGTTTTGTATTTGTATCTCATGTAGGTAGCACAATGCTTGGCACATACATCGTAAGCACTTACTAAATTGTTTTTCATTTATTCTTTCTTAGATACAGTCCATCCTTCTAGCCTATAGATATCATTTTGGACTCTGCTACCCGAAATGTTAGCAATCTCCCTTAGGTTTCTATTTAATCAACACACCCTCATTGCCTTCATCTAACTCTGATAAAAATGCTCAGCAGAATGCAGGCAAAGAAAAAGCCCTGGGGTACTCCACTAGACATCTCTCTCTAAGTTGACACTGATTACTATTGTTTGGTCCAAACATTCAAACCATTCTTTGTGGGAAGCAGGGTACGTAGAAAAGAGGAAAGAGAGATGGAAGTACTTGGAGAATTTGGGTTCGAATTGTAGCTAGGCCACTTGCTTTCAGTAAGTACTTGCAAAATGAGGGAATTGACTAGATGATCTCAAAAGTTCCTTCTAGGTCTAAATCTATGAGCCTATATTAATCCATCTAATACCATTATCATCTAACCCATATCTTTCCACCATGTTCTTAAGGAAAGTATATGAGATTTTGTCAGACACTTTTCCAAAATCCAGTTATGTTCTATCTACAGTATTCTTTTATCTGCCCATCTAGTAACCTTGTCAAAATGAGGCTAGTATGGCATAACTTGTTGTAGAGGATGCAATCTGGCTCTTAGTAATCACCACTTCCTTTTCTGGATACTAAAACCCCTACTAAGACCACTACATCTCAGTCACTTTTCCTGAATCATTACCCAGCTCCTACCTATTTAGCATATATGTCCCCCAAGATTCTGTTCTGAAACCTCTTCTCTCTATATACTCTCTTGGTGACTTCATTAGCTTACAACAGTATAATTGTTATCTCTATGCAGATGGCTTCCAAATCATCCATGATCTTTCTCTAGGCCCATATCACCTGACTACTTGCTTCCACTTGGCTGTTCTAACAACATCTCAAACTTAATTGGTACAAAATGGAACTCATTCTTCCTTCCCTTTATTCTATCCCTCTTCCAAACTTCCCAGTTTCTGGTAAAGACACCACTCCAAGTCATCCAAATTCACATCAGAGTCATCCTTGACTTACCTCTCCCTTGCCCCAATCCCCTTATTCCCAGCCAATTGCCAAGTCTTGTAGATTCTAACTTCACAAAAATCTCTTCCATCTGTTCCCTTCACAGAGTCACTACCCTAGTTCCTTCTCTCATCTTTCACCTCAACTGTTTTGATAGCCTCTTTATTAGTCTCCCTGCTTTCAGTCTCTCTTCTCCAATCCATCTTTGATGGAGCTACCAAATAAGCATTCCTAAGATTCATGTTTGACCATGATGCTCCTCTGCTCCAGAATCTTCACTTCCTCCCTACTGCATAAAATACAAACTTCTCAGTCTGGTATTTAAAGTATTTCATAACCTGGATCCCATCTACAATTCCAGGCACTTCATCTTACTTTACTTACATTACTCTGTGCTTTAGCCAAAATGGCATACTAGTTATTCCCAAACTCAACATTCTATTTCCAATCTCTGGAACTTCTCTCATTCCTGGAATGTACTCCTTCACTACCTTCATTTCTTAGGATCCCTAGTTTCCTTCAATGTTTAGCTCAGGTGTCAATTCCTACAATGAAGAGTTTCCTGATGCCTCCACTCATTAGTGTTTTATCCAATATCTAATTACTCTTGTATTTACTTACTAGTACAACTTGTGTTTCTTAAAGGACCCTTAAAGTTAAGAAGTTTCATTTTCATCTTTGCATCTTCAATGTCTTATATATAGTAGGTTTTTAATAAATGTTTATTGAATTGAATTGCCAAAGAAGATTCTCTAAAAACCCATACCAACCCATACTTCGCATCCTCAGGATTTCTACCTAAATTTTAAAACGCCCTTCATTGCACAAATGCTAGAACTAATTCATCTGCCAGAAGCATCCTCTGGATGGGGCAGGAGAAATTTTACCAGGAATGTAAGTCTAGACTGCTAGGTAATCTAGGTCATGCAGTGGATAAAATGATGGGCCTAGAGTCAAGAAGATCTGAGTTCTGAGGCAGCTAGGTGGTCCAGTGGATAGAGTACTGGCCCTGAAGTCAGGAGAACCTGAGTTCAAATACAGCCTCAGACTAAACACGTGACACTTACTAGCTGTGTGACCCTGGGCAAGTCACTTAACCCCAACTGCTTAAAAAATTTTTAAATAAAAAAAAGACCTGAGTTCAAGTCCAGCTTCAGACACTTACTAGTTATGTGACCCTCAGAAAGTTGCATAATATGTACTGGCTCAACTGTAAAATGGAGATAATAAAAGCACTTACCTGATAGGATTGTTGTGAGGATCAAATGAGATAATATTTATAAATCACTGAGCCCAGTGCCTGACACATAGTAGGCACTTAATAAATGCTTGCCCTCTTCCCCCTTTCCCCTAGACCAAAATTGACAAATTCTGTTGTTTTCTTTCCTGAAAATCAGGACACTTGCCCTTCTCTAGTCCTGCAGTATGTTTGTTATTCTCCCCAAACTTTCAAAATCATTCAGCAATCAATCCAACAATTCTTTCAATACTCAGGAATGTTAATTCATCTGAGACAGGTGACTTGAAGTCATCAAGGGCAATGAGATACTGTCTTACTGGCTCCTTGCTAAGATTAGGTATCAGCTTCCTGTTAACCATTTTTTTTTCTTGTTCAGACATTTCAAGAGCAAAAGTCATTCTTCTTGCCAGGGAAAACAGAAACAATGCAGTACTTGAACCTCCTTCTTTCTGCTGTCAGGTATTGTCCCACAACCTCCACCAGCCTCAGCTCCACAGCTATAGACCGCTTGACATGATTTTTGCAGGATTATATCAAGCCCACATATTATTCATCCTCTGTTATCTACCCTTGTTTCCAAATTACTTTCATATCTTTTAAAAAAAATCTAAATTGGTTGTTAAGTTCTCTGGGCTTCTTCATTAATTTTTTTTTTTTTTTGCCTTTTGGTGAGGCAATCAGGGTTAAATGACTTGCCCAGGGTCACACAGCTAATAAGTGTCATGTGTCTGTCGACTCCAAGGCCAGAGCTCTATCCACTGCACCACCTAGCTGCCCCTTTCCTAATTTTTGTTTTGTTTTGTTTTTGTTTTTGTTTTCCTTCATTGATTTTTCAGATAATTGCCTCATTGTAATTATTTCCCTTCAGGTTCTCAGAATTTCATGGAGGCTTTTACCACTTCTCCTCTGCTGACTTTTCCTGGAGAATTTTAGTCCACACTTTTCTTCTGAATCATTTGAAATCAGCTTTCACAAAATCTAGGGATTGTCAGATTATGTTCGGCTTTCCTCTCTCCTGTCACAGACTCTAATATGGAATGGTCATCTCCCCTCTCCCCTCTCAATGTTCCCATCATTTCAACCCTCAAACAACCAGTTCCTCCCTATTCATGAGAATTTGTTCAGGTACAGAATTTCCTGTTGTTAGGTCTTCCACCTTTTAAAGTTTGAAATCATCTTTAAGTCAAGAAGTCATTAGCTTCTCTTTTTTTTTTTAGATGGGACAGTCCCAGAAGATATCTAGATAATCAAAATCTCCCATCACAATTAGATCAGGCCTCTGTGCCAGTGATAGGTGAGAAAACTGACCAAGATGTCGTAGCTAGTTAGTAGCAGAATGGGCATAAGAATCCATGCCCAAGTCTACTGATTCCCAATCTGATGCTTTTTCCACAGGTAGGAATCTATGATCATTATAGTTTAGGCAAAAATAAAACCATGTTCTTGCTTGGATTGTTCATGTAATGTCAGAGAAAAAAAAACAGAACACAATGTAAAAAAGAGATGATTTTTATTATTTTGCCTGCATCATCCCCAAAATCACCCTCAAGCCTTCCTTTTATCTACCAATGGGAATATGACCTTGGATTACTTATAACAATTTGATTCAATTTAATGAGTTCCCATCTGGATGTCTGGACCTATATTTATTTAATGTTCTAACATGGTAGAAATACAAAACATTTCTTACTTTTCAATGCCATTCAAATAAATCAGAACCACATTGAGACTAGAGAGAATTTTAAAAGAGGTAAAGAGCCTGAATGACCTAAAAGAAACAGTTTTCAGAATAACATTGGACATTGTGTGTGTTGGGCTATGCCATGAATAATGACAATATTTCTAAAACCTTTCCTCTATTTCTCCCCCAGTTTATTATAATTGAATTTTGCATCTACACATACATTGTACAAGAGCTAGATGTATTTGAGGGGGGACTGGAGAGCTACATTGCTTCAGTTAATGATACAGGAGTACTGACACCAGCTATTCTACAAATAAAGGAGCTGATTACCGTGGCAAAAGGTAAACAAGTCCCTGTACAGTTATTGTGCTATGGGTGGCTGAGATTGCAGTTCTGTGAAAAGAAATAATCACAGCTCTAAGCTTATTTTACAGCTTGGCTCTTTCTCTTAAACCAACTAACAAAATAAAACAAAATCATTTTTACAGAATAGTTTGGAAACAAAACCATCCTGAAAACAGGGCTTTTGAGGAAGAACAGAAATTAGAGAAATGGGGAAAAAGAAATTTTATCTTTTAAAAATTACTTTCTACTCGACTAATGGTAGAATAAAACATTCTAGAATTTTTCATTTTCTCTTTTTATTATTTATGTTTCTCCTTTTAGTTTCACTTTTCCCCTTTTATTTATCATCTCTTTAATACTTAAGATATTTATGATAATTAAGGATCTATGATTTTTGTCCAAATAGGCTTCCCCTCTCATTACACCTCATTTGCTATTTTTTTTTTGAGGCAATCAGGGTTAAATAACTTGCCCAGGGTCACACACCTAGTGAGTATCTGAGGGTGGATTTGAACTCAGGTCCCCCTGACTCCAGGGCCAGTGCTCTATCCACTGCACCACCTAGCTGCCCTAAATGTGAGCTTAATGAGTTGCTGTAACCAAAGACAATTCATCACCAGGTATCCTACCTTTTAACAAGGAGCCTCTCCAAAATTAAAATCCTTTGATGACTAACATATATAGGCCATCACCAGTCCTTTATTCAATGCTTTTTCAATTTGGTATAAACTATCAAGGCATTAATAACCTTGAATAACCCATGATTTCCATACCATCATGAAGCAATAGAGTAGGATTTTAGTGGATGTAGCCATTTATTAATGAATTAAAATACATGAAAACTTAATAGGGTGATTCTGTAAGAGGTTTGTAAACTTATGAATTTTCAGTTAATGTCATTTCATAACTCCACAATTAATGTTAAAAACTAGTTTTCTGTCATAAGCTCCTTCTGGTTGAAGTGTTGGTAATAGTGTTCCCAGACTGAGGAGTCCAAGCAACAGGTCAGCATGGTATAGCAGAGGGAGCCCCAGGTTTAGAGGACATAGATTTGAATCCCACTTCTGCTACTTTCTAGCCCTAGGACCTTGGCCAACTTCTGCCATCTCTTTGGGCCTCTGTCTTCTCACCTGTGAAGTGAAAGGACTGGACGAGATTTACTCTAAGGTTCCTTTCATCTCTAAATCTGATGATCCTAAATCATGGAAATGGGCATCTCGCAGAAAGGGGTTGAGACACAAAATAACTGATGTAAATGATCTCACCATCATATGATTCAAGAAGCATTAAGACATAAGATGAGACATAAACTATCAGAGGTGGAAGGAATCTTTGAGATCATCCAGTCCAACTTCTTTACAGGCAAGGAATCTGAGTCATAGATAAGTGAAATGACTTGCTGAAGGTTAACAGTAGTGTTAGAGCTCAAATTTGTAAGTACAAGTGTTCTCTCCTTACTATATCACGGTGTCTCAGAAGTTTATGTTTGAGTTTTATTTAGATACAGTAAAAAAATTTTTTAATATAAAAAACTATTGAGGCTGCTAGGTGGCACAGTGGATAGAGCCCCGGCCCTGAAGTCAGGAGGACCTGAGTTCAAATCCGGCCTCAGACCAAACACTTGACACTTACTAGATGTGTGACCCTGGGCAAGTCACTTAACCCCAACATATGTACATATATATATATATATGTAAACTATTCTTAGCATGTGGGCTATACCAAAACAGGAGGTAGGCTGGATGTGGTCCATGGGCTGTAGTTTGCTGATCTCTGATTTAAAACAGCAAAGGAGACTGAAAAGGATTGGTTAGATGGATAAGGAGGACAACTGGGAGATATCATGAAAATCCATAGCGGACAGAATAACCTGAGGAAGAGTATGGTCCATGTAGGATGAGGACTGTTTGTTGGGAACTTCGAGGAGAGTAGTTTTACATAAAATGATTATCATTTGGAAGACTGATTGTGAAGAATTGAGAAGTAAATGAGAGGAAAGGGAGGGGAGGCAGTGAATGTAGAAAACTTTTTCTAGGAGTTTAGCTGAGATGGAAAAAGAGATAGAGGATGATAGCTTGAAGGTTTTTGTTTTGTTTTGTTTTGATAACGCCATCAAGTGTTGTAGACACTCTGCAGCCTAAGATATTTGCTATATTTGTTGGTCTTATATGTTATAACTGTTGATAAACTGAGCTGACAGTTGACAAAAATCTATCTTTTTCACATAAACTGTTGTCTGTACATGTATACCAAGAGTGTGCAGGGACCAGCTTATAATGGATGCAAAAGTTGATTTCTAAATTTCCAGTGTGAGCATTTATACCTTGGACATAGGCAAATGCTACAAACTGGGTTTTGGTTTATTATTTTATTGATTAATTATTCTAGACTTAAGAAAGTCATGGAAAAATATTAATAATATATATAAAACTTAAAAGTAAATCCTGTGTACAGACATACCCTCCCCTGGAGAGCTATTTGTTAAATATTTCTCAGCATACCTGTGTTCCTCAAGTTGTATAAAGATGGTCCCAATTATATGAATAATGCATCCTCTGAAGTGGTTGCATGTATTCTACTTTACACTATTTAAAGTTACAATTATGCAAAATAGGATAGTTAGTTCCAACCCAATGCAAATAAGTAGCATGAATTCAAATAATGCAAACACATCTGGAGGATTCATTATACATACTAACTGGGAGCTTGCCATAGTTCATTTTTTTTTAACTAAAGTATAGGACTTTATATTTATCCCTATTAATTGATCGTAGATTGATCCAACAACAGGTGATCTAGTCCATCCACCATAGCATCTTCAATGAGTGGTCAGTCATCCAACTTATGCTTGGAGATCTCTAGAAATAGGAAAAGTGCTGGCTCCTAAGGCAGCTCATTCCATTTGTGGACTCTTCCAGCATTTGTTTGTTTGTTTGCTTATTTCTTTATTTGTGCTGAGCCTAAACCTACCTCTCTGAAACTTCCAACCTTTGCTCCAAAGTCTGTCCTCTTGGGCCAAGCAGAACAGGTCTAATCTGTCTTTCTTATAATTTTTCAAATACAGCTTCATTTCCTTCAGTCTATTCTTCTATGGGGAAACTAGGTGGAACAGTAGAGAGAGCACCAGCTTTGGAGTCAAGAAGACTCCTCTCCCTGAGTTCAAATGCAGCCACAGACACTTACCAGCTGTATGACCCTGGGCAAGTCACTTAACCCTGTTGGCTTCAGTTTCCTCATCTGTAAAATGATCTGGAAAAGGAAATGGCAGACCATTCCAGTATCTTTGCCAAGGAAACCCCAAAATGGGGTCATAAAGAGTCAGACACAACTATCAGATGGCTCAGTGGCAAAGTGGATAGAATTCTGGCCCTAAAGGCAGGAAAACCTGAGTTCAAATTCAGCCTCAGATACTGTCTAGCTGTATGATCCTAGACAAGTCATTTAAACTCTTTGTGTCTCAGTTTCCTCATCTGAAAGATAGAGATAATAATAGCACCTACCTCCTAGGGTAGTTTTGAAGTCTAAATTAGGTAATGTTTGTAAAGAGCTTTGCAAACTTTCAAATACTGTGTAAATGCTAGTATATTGTTGTTGTTGTTGCATCATTTGAGTCTTCCTCTTGTGAATATGTTCTAACTTGCCAATGTCTTTGCTATAGCCAGAACTGAGCGCTGAATTCTAAATGGAGTCTACCCAGATCAGAACACAACAAAATTATCATTTTCATAGATAGACAGACAAACACACAAATAGATAGACAGACAGACAGATAGATCAATGCGGCCTAAGATCACATTACCCCAAGATCACATGCCTGCCATATTACACTGTTAACTGAAATTAAGCTTGTAGTCCACTGAAACCCCAAAATCTTTTTAAAAATAGGAATTCTAGTCTAGTCATGCTTCTTACACCCCATACTAATGCACTTGACTTTATGAACCAAAGTCTAGGACTTCACGTTTCTCTCTATTCAATTTCATTTTATTACAATCAATTCTGCCCATCATCCCTGCCTATCAAGATCTTTGTGGACCCTTGACTGTCACCTAGCATTAGCCATACCTTCCATCTTCATGTCATCTATGTTTTCGTCAGAGTCATTGATGCAATAATATGTCAAGAATCTGTGATTTTGTTGGTGGAGCACAACCCACATATAATTTAGTAAATAGGTATTAGAGAATTGCCTGAGGCTCAGATAGGCTAAATGAGAAATAGGATTTGAATCCAGGTCTTTCTCACCCCAAATCCAGCACTCTATCGATATGTCCTGATGAGTTTTAAATCACTGAAGAAACTCACTCCAGGTTGTTATTAATCTTTGATCACTACTCTTTGGGTGCAGCCATTTTTGGGAATCCACCTAAAACTGTACTCTCTTCTAGCCTTCATCTTTCCATCTTTTCCACAAGGATGTTATGAGACTTGTCAAATGCCTTAGTTAGGATATTTATGATATCCCTCTAACCTACTTGTTTAATAGAGAAGAATCAAAGAATGTTTGAACTGAAAGCCACCTTAGAGATCATCTAGTCCAAAGGTTCTTAACCTTTTTTTGTATCATGGGGGACCCCTTTGGCAGACTGATGAAGCCTATGGACCCCATCTAAGAATGATGTTTTTAAATAATTAAAGAAAATGTTACATTTCATTTAGAGGTTAGAGAAATTAAAGACATAACTTTTTCCCATCTGAATTCATGGGCTCTTTGAAATCTAACCATAGATTCCCTTGACCCCAAGTTGAAAACCTTTGATCTAGTCCAGTCCCTTTATTTTACTGAAAGGCCTAGAAAGGTGAGGTGACCTGCCCCAAGGCCACATAGCAAGTTAGTAACAGAACTGGGGCTAGAACACAGCTGCCAGGCTCCCATTCTTTCCACTACACCAAGGAAAGGATGATCAAGAAATTTTAACTACTCCCACCTTCTTCTGCATCAAAATAGCTGTCCTACAAGGAGCTTTAAATGAAACACACTTGGGTTGTCAGACATCGAATGAGATGGGAAGAGATGAGAGCTAGGTATTTACTCATTCCTCTGCTCTTGGCCACATGCTTTTCATCCAGGAGTGTGCTGAAGCCAGCTCTAACCTGCTTGGGAGACCCATCAATAAATTTTCAGGGTTAGAATTTACACCTCAGAAATTGGCAATGGCTACAAATCAGGCTTTGTTTTGTTGACTACTGAGACTTAAGAAAGTGTTATTAATACAGATTAAACTTTAAAGATCCCCCTCCCTGCCCCCGCCAGTGATCTCGGTTGTTGAACATTTACCAACACATCCTCTTTTTCATCCCTTTCCTTCCTTGTCTGTCTCCTTATTTTGCTTGATCAGAGAATCCCAGTCTAGAGAGAATCCAAGAAATCTAAATCTATTTCCAATTTTGTGGGAGAGAATAAACTTTAGCTTTAAAAGTTCCTGTGACAAAGGTACATAACTCCTCAGATTGAAATTTGCAAGAAAAGGAAATCCTAAAAATAAAAACCAGCACTTAATCACCTTCCTTCTATTTTCCTTCTCTCTCTCAATTAACTGACACAACTTAATTTGGCCTAGTCTTTCACTTTAAGCACTGAAGTCTTCTCCCCTTCCTCAATCAAAAAGAAAATGTTATGAATTATCAATTCTAGTTATAAACTCATAAAATGTTAGAACAGGAAGGATCAGCAAATCAATCATATGTTTTAGAGTTGATAGGAGTCTTAGAGATCACCTAGTCTGACCAGCTCAATTAACAGCTGAGTAAATTGAGGTCCAGAGAAGCTCAGTGGATTGTTCATTTTCACAGGGCTAATAAAAGGAGACTTAGGATGTGAACTCAGGTCCTCTGACTTCAAGTCCGGTGCCCCAATGATGCCATATTGCTCTGTTTGCTATGAAATGTTGGAAGTCATCCTTCTTTAATAAATTAAGATAAGAATCTTAAAGATTAATGAATGTTGCCAAATCAGTACATGACAGTTTAGCTTTTCAAAATATTTTCTCCTCTCTTCTTATTTTAGCATGAAAATGTTAGGAGAGAAGGAAGGATTAAAAATAACTATGGCTAGAGAGAGAATATAGAGGGGGCAACCCAAAAGACTCCAGCAAAAAATTTACTTACTACCTGAAAATAATAATTCATGCCATAGGAATCAAAATAGATTCTCTCCAATTCTTTCTCATACATAAGGCACAGAGTAGTGTGGTATGTGGTACAGAGAATTGGGTTTTAAGGAGCTGTCTGAGTATTTGAAGTAGGTATTGTGTGGTAAAGAGAAAACATTAAGATGCCTTTTTTGTTGTTATTACAGGCGTTTGGATGCTGACCATTTTTTCTGCCTCCCTCACTTGTATAAGCTATTTATTTCACATTTTAGCCTGCTACAGGTAAGAATATTGAATGAGTCAATGTGCCATCCAATACCCCTCCCCTGTGCTCCAGCATAGTCAACAAACATTGTTAACTCACTCTCTTTTATATTCTAAGCCATGACATTCATAAACCCATTCAAGTAGAAAAAAATGAAATCTAGACAGGTCAAAGGGAAATATCAACTCTTAAGTAAAAGTTACCACTGATTAGTTAGAGCAGTATCTGCTCAGAGTTTTAGTGATAATGAAAGAGTAAAAGAGGAACCTGTGAACCAAGAAAAAAAAGAGTTGAGATGTCTGTGGGGCGCTCTGATTGTCCAGCAGGCTATTGGTGATGCGGGACAGGCGTTCAGGAGAGAAATGCGGGCTGCAACTAGGAGTCCTCCAAGTCGAGATCATTGAGTCCGTGAGAGTTGATAATATTACCAAGAGAGTGTAGACACAGAAAAAGATCAGTATCCCAGCAGGAACTTGCATATTTACAAACTGAAAAATAAATAAAATTCAACCTGAAGCCTTCAAAAATTACCAAACTGGGGAGCTCATTTAGGTCTTGTCTACAATAACCAAGACCTAGATCTTACTATTTAGTTCTACACACACCCCACGTGTGTGTGTGTGTATATGTGTGTGTGTGTGTGTGTGTGTGTGTGTTTCTGTGTGTACAGGATGGGAGCAAAGGGCAATAAGAGTGAGGAGAAGAGAATAAACATTTATATAGCACCTACTATATGCCAGGCACTGTGCTAAGCATTTTACAAATATTATTTCATTTGATCTTCACAACAATATCACTTTCAGTCCCAAGAGATCAGTAGCCCTTCCTGGAGACAGACCAAGAGAGTAGTGATCATATCTCTACCTAGATCAGGGGTGGGGAACCCGTGGTCTTCTAGGTCCTTGGGTGTGGCCTTTTGATTGAGTCTAAGTTTTACATAACAAATCATTTTATTCAGGGGATTTGTTCTGTGAAGTTTGGATTCAGTCAAAGGGCCATACTTGAGGACCTAGAGGGCCACATGTGTCCTTAAAGCTGAAGGTTCCCCACCCCAACCTAGATCATACCACCTTGGAGTCACTTAAAACTTCTAAACCCCCAGAACTAGTTCTGAAAACAACAATGTGAAAAAGCCTGAAGCTTAAAACAATGCCTCTTCCCCTCCCACACTGGCAACAGAGCCCAACATTAACATAAAGTTCATAATCAAGAAATAAGATGGGAAAATGAGCAAACAAAAAAAGAAGAACTTGACCATAAAAGGCTACTATAGTGACAGGGAAGACCAAAACACAAATTCAGAAGAAGATAATGAAGAAAATAATACCTTAAATAACAGAATTGGCCTAACAGAAAAAGAAGTACAAAATCTCACTGATGAAAAAATTCCTTAAAAATTAGTTTCAGGCAAGTGGAAGCTAATGAATTCATGAGACATCAATAAACAATAAAACAAAGTCAAAAGAAGAAAAAATAGAAGAAAATATGAATATCTCATTGGAGAAAAACAATATGTAAACCTATAAAACACATCAAAGAGAAGCAGCATAAGAATTATTGGCCTGCCTGAAAGCCATGATCAAAGAAAGAGCCAAGACATTGTATTTCAAGAAATTATCAAGGAAAACTGCCCAATATCCTAGAATAAATAGAAATTAATAGTAATGATATAATATATAATGTATATATTATGTATATAGTAATATAGTAACTTAATAATTAAGTGAAATAAACAGTAAAATAGAAATGGAAAGAATTAGCCAATCACTACCTGAAAGAGATGAAAACTCCTACAAATATTATAGCCAAATTATAGCTCCTAGATCAAAGAGAAAATACTTCAAGCAGCCATGAAGAAATCATTCAAATACCATAGGGTCACAATCAGGATCACACAAGATTTAGCAGTTTCCACATTAAAAGAACATAGGGCTTGGAATATAATATTTTTGGAAGACCAAGTAGCTAGGACTATAATCAAGAATAGCCTACCCAACAAAACTAAGTATAATCCTTTGGGGGGGGGGGGATTGATATTTAATGAAATAGAGGACTTTCAGGATTCCTGATGAGGAGACCAGAGTGGGATAGAAAATTTGACTTTCAAATATAAGACTCAAGAGAAGCATTAAAAGGCCAATAGGAAAGAGAAATCATAAGGGACTCAATAAGGTGGGAGGATGATACATGTAACTTCTAAGAACTTCATCATTATTAGGGCAGTTGGAAGGATTCTACATAGAAAAAAAGGTATGGGAGTGATTTGATTATGTTGGGATAAAGTAAAAAAATAGATAGGTGGGAAAGAGGGATGCCCTGGGATAAGGGGGAAGGGAGAGAAAGAATGTATAAAATTATTTCACATAAAAGAGGTGAAAAAGAGCTTTTATAGTGGAAGGGTAAATGGGGGGGACAGGCAATGCTTGAACTTCACTCACATCTAAATTGGTTCAAAGAGGGGGAAATATATGTATATGTATATGTATATGTATGTATGTATATATGTACACGCATATGTAAAATGTGTGTGTGTATATACACACACAATTGGAAGTAGAAATCTATCTTACCCAACAGGGAAGTAGGAGGGGAAGGGGATAAGAGAAGGTGTGGGGGGGTGATAAAAGGGAGAATAGATAAAAGAAGGCAGTGATCAGAAGCAAAACAGACTTTAGAGGAGGGACAGGACAAAAAGAAAGAGAAAAGGACGAACAGAAGAAAACAGGATTGAGGGAAATGCAGAGCTAGCAATCATCATTGTGAATGTGAGTAAGATGAACTCACCCACAAAATGAAAGTAGATAGCAGAATAGATTAGGAAGCAGAATCTAAAAATAGGTTGTTTAAGAGAAACACACAGAACAGATAGACACACAAAGAGCTAAAATAAGAGGCTGGAGCAGAATCTATTATGCTTCAGCTGACATAAAAAAGTCAGGAGTAGCTATCATGATCTCAGAAAAGCAAATGCAAAACCAGACCTAATTAAAAGGGATAAGCAAGGAAACTTTTCCCTCTCAAAGCCAGACAAATCCAACCATAAAATAAATAAGAAAGAAGTCAAGGTGATGAATAAAATTTTAGAAAAGTTACATATAACAGACCTCTGGAGAAAACTGAATGGGAATAGAAAGGCATATACTTTTTTCTCAGTTGTACATGGCACCTTCACAAAAACTGACTATGTTTTAGGGCATAAAAACCTCACAACCAAATGCAGAAAAGCAGAAATATTAAACAAACTCTTCAGACCATCATGTATTAAAAACCACATTTAATAAAGGGCCATGGAAACATAGATTATTGTTTTTAATTTTTATTTTGAATATTTATTTCTTTTTAAATTTTGAGTTCCAAATTCTCTCTCTCTCTCTCTCTGTATATATATATATATATATATGTAGAAGGCAAGAAATATGATATCAATTATACATGTGAAGTCATGCAAAACATATTTCCATATTAGTCATATTTCCAAAAAAGAGAAGGAAGAAAAGTTAAGAAAGTGAGAAAATTATACTTCAATTTGCACTCAAACTTCATCAGTTCTCTGTCTGGAAGTGGATAGCATTTTTTCATCATGAGTCCTTCAGAATAGTCTTGGATCATTGTATTGATCAGAGTAGTCAAGTCTTTCATAGCTGATCATCATTACGACATTGCTGTTACTATGCACAATGATTTCCTGGTTCATCTCAGTTCACTTTTCATCAGTTCATATAGGTCTTGTCCTGTTTTTCTGAAACCCTCTTGTCATTTCCCATAGCACAAGAGGATTCCATCACAATCATATGCCATAACTTGTTCAGCTATTTTTCAACTGATAAGCATCCCTTCTATTTCCAAATCTTTGCCTCCATCAAAAGAGCTATATTATTACACTATAAATATTTTTGTACATATAGGTCCTTTTCCCTGATCTCTTTGGGGTACAAACCTAGCAGTGGTATTGCCAGGTCAAAGGTATACATCATTTTATAGCCCTTTGGGTCTAGTTCCAAATTGTTCTCCAGAACAGTTGGACAAGCTCACTACTCCATCAACAATTCATTAGCCCCTCCGATATTTGTCATTTCTGATATGTGTGAGGTGGTGCCTCAGAATTGTTTTAATTTGCCTTTCTCTAATCAGTTGTGATTTAGAGCACTTTTATATGACTAGAGATAATTTTGATTTCTTCTTCTGAAAACTGCCTATATCCTTTGACCATTCATCAATTAGGGAATGCTCATATTTTTATAAATTTGACTCAGTTCTATACTCAGTATATATTTGAGCAATGAGGCCTTTATCAGAGAAACTTTCTGTAAAAATTATATTACTTCATTGTCTATGGTACCTTTGAGCAAAATGTATCTTCCCTGATTATCTTTTTTAATTAAGTCTATTTTTATTTTTGCTTTGTTTGAGATGATGACTGCCACCTCTGCCTTTTTTTTTTAAAGTTCAGTTGAAGCACTTTAGATTCTGTTGCAGCTCTTTATCTTAAGTTTGTGTGTGTGTTTATGTTTCAAATGTGTCTCTTGTAAACAATATATTGTTAGATTTGGTTCCTAATCCATTCTGCTGCTTCTGTTTTATGGGTGAGCTCATCCCATTCAGAGTTATGATTACTAACTGTATATTTCCCTGTCCCTCCTCAAAAGTCTATTTTGCTTCTAACCACTGCCTCCTTTAATCTGTTCTTCCCCAGCCACTCTTATTTCTTCCAGGAATTCATGGGTCCAATTAGCATTTTTCTTTGAGGCTGTGGTTATAGCTGTTTTCACATTGCTTTCTTTTTCTGAGTTTACGTCTTAGTTTTCCCTGCCACATTGTAGTAGTGATTTAAGGTCAAATTCCCTTTTTGTTGTTTGTTCATTTTTCCAGCCTATTTCTTGACTTTAAATTTTATGTTAAAGTTGGGCTCTGCTCCTCTCGGGGTAAGAAGGCACTGTCCCAAGCTTCATGTTATTTTGTGTTGAGTTTTCAGAGCTAATTCTGTGGATCTGCAAGTTTTTGGTGCTTCCAGGGTGGG